GCTGAAGACTAAAAGCCGATGTGTCCCCATAATGCCTTCCCTGGCCTAGTTTTGCCACACAGTTCAGTAGCCACTCTGAAGGTCTCATCACTTAGTTGAGAACTTGAGAGACAGAGCAACAGGACATGGCCTTTCCCCAAGGAAAGGCATCTATAAAGGGATGAAAATGGTCTGTAACCATGGTGACCATGGACCCCAATGGAGTCCCATGGAGAGTTCAGGGAGTGGCAGAGGATGAGGCTGGAGAGGTAGTTGGCGTGGGAGAGGGCCCTTGTTGGTTGGGATTTTATCAAGAGTATTATGAGTATTATCAAGAGTATTTTAACAAGAGGGAGTAAGGCAGGTCAGCCTTGCATTTAGTGAGTTCATGCTACTGGCTGTGTAGCTGTGAAGACAGAACATTGTGTAGGAAGGAAAAAAATATTTCCCCTACATGTGCACACATGAACAGAAACGTGGCACAAGTGTGAAGAGGGAGGGCCCCCACTAGGTTCCCTTCAGTCCTTCCCCCATTTGTGCCTCCCATCTGTTCTTAAGCTAACCAGTAGTTTGTAATCTTGAATCCCTTGCAAAAATGTGTAAACATAGATTCCTTCCAGGGCCCTTCCAGAGAGATTGTGATTGGTGAATCTGGTTTAGGCCTGATCACCAGTATCTTTTTCAAGGTGAGTCTAGGCCAACCAAGTGTTGCAAACTACAGTCTGCCAAGGGTTTGCAGACTCCCACGTTCGCCAATGTTTACACCATCTGATGACAGATTAAATAAAAAATGTTGCCAGCCACATAAAGAGAGTCAACAGCCCACAAGACTGCTGTTTTGTGCCTCTACCCCAGATGGGAGGCAACCGACCTCCTGACCTCAACCCCACCCCAGGCCCCAACCCCCACGGCACCCTCACCGTAGACCGTGAGTGTGCAGCTGCTGCGGTCCTTGCCCAGCTCGTTCTCCACCAGCACACTGTACTCTCCGCTGTCCTTCAGTGTACAGGTGGGGATGACGATTGTGCACACACCACTGGTGGAGTTGTACCAGAACTTGGAGTTGGCTGTGATGTTGACATCGCCTTTGTAGAGGGTCACAGTGGGCCGCGGGTTCCCGAGGAAGGCACACGTCATGGTGCAGTCCTGGCCGCGCAGCACTGTGTGTGGCTTGAGCGGGGTCATGAAGCGAGGTGCGTGGCGCCAGTCCTTCTGCTGGTATGGCTTCAGCTTGGTGCTCAGGTCTTCGACTGCGCAGGTGGGATGCGGAGGTCGTGAACACCCCCAGGTCCCCACCTGTCACCACCAGCTTAGAGCTTGGAAGGTGCCTAGCCCCTGACCTGAGACGCAGCTCGTGGAACCCCAGTGACCTGGGTTAGATTCCCAGATACCATCAATTCTGAGGCTTTTTTACTAGTTCCTAAAGTTCCCTTTGCACTGTCCTCCCACCCCCTTGCCACTTCATGACCTAAGCCACGACCTAAGCCAAGTCTGTGGGTTTTACGCTTTTCCAGACCGTGGAGTTCTAGATTTCTTTCCAGCCACCAGTTTCTCAGACCTGAGATGTTATCCTGCTTTTAACTCCCCCTCTAAGCTTTCCCGTGTCATCCCAGCCTCCATGGTCTCAGCTCTCTCCTATTTAGCCCTGTATTTCACATTTCCTGCCACTATCCCCACCCTTAATCCCTTCCCTCCAGGGTTTCTGGACAGCAAACCTGCTCCCACTCCTTGGAGACCCTTCCCAGTCCTCAGCACCTTCAGCCCCCTTGGCTCAGCACTACATTCCTCGCCCCTCCCTCCCACCACCCGTCATCACCTCACCCCCAAGGGTACCTCCCCAGCTCCTCCTTAGTCCCACCCATCATGGTACCCTGAAAGTATCTTCTCGCCTAGGCTTCCTGACCTCTACTTTTCTCCCCAGCATCCCTGACCTCAACTGTTCTCTATTTTACCTCAAATCTTGGGTACCCCTTGCAATTCTTATGTTATCCCTAGCATCAGGGATCCCAGATGTAACCCGAATCCTCAAATACCCTGACTCACTCTTGTCCTTGTTGACCAGCCAAGTATTCTTGGAGTCGAGCGGGTCGCTGTCACCGACTTCATTCCGGGCCACCACTCGGAAGTAGTACTTCCTGCCAGGGAGCAACCCAGTCACCGTGTACTTGTTGCTGAAGACACGCTCTGCCGCTGTGAACCAGGTGGCAGTGCTGGCATCCCGTTTCAAGATGACGTAGTGGGCCTCACCGTCGTCCTGCACATCAGGGCTGTGGTTCCAGGTCAGAGTCACCGTGTTGGGGACCTCCTCAAACAGCCGTAGGTTTGTGGGTGGCCGCGGAAAATCTGATACAAACAGAAGGTCCATCAGCCACCCTCCCAGAAGTATTGTGTCCCCATGCCAGCCACCTGCCAAGCCCTTTGAGTTTCAGGCAGCTTGTGTCTTGGAGTCACAAAGAACTGTTTCTGAAGTACTTCTATGCTATTTATCAGCCCTGTGAACTTGGGCAAATTACTTATCTTTTCTGAGACCCAATTCCTCACTTGCAAAACAGGGCTAATAATTACTATCATAGAAATGGTGGGTAAAGTACCTGGCATGCAGTAATTGTTTAATAAAAGTTTATCCCTTCATCTCTTGGGAGTTTAGGGCTTTTTTAAAAGCTTCCAGCCCTCTCTAAGAGGTCACCCCAATTTTTAATGGATTTTTAATTTTTAATGGATTCATCTCCATCTGTTCCTCCTGCTTATCACCCATTCTCTGCTTTCTTTTTCCCACCTCCTCTGTATGTGTCCCGAAGGTCACCAGGTGTGACTGCAGAAACTGAAACCAGGGCTTCATCCTAGTTCAATGTCCCTGGGCTTCATGATGGTGAGAAAAAGTGGAAACAGCCCTCCCCATTAAGGCAAAGGCTGATAAACCCTTACTCTGTGGTGCCAAAGAAGCCTTCACTACCTTAAAGCATGACTTTATAGTGGTAGGAGTTCAAGCAGCAGTGGAGCTATATTTTGGAGAGTATATAGGGATGTCCCTTGAGGCCTCTGCCCACTGTCATACCTGCCACTCGCACATGGATGTCATAGTGTGCCTCGCCAAACTCATTCTGGAGCAAGATGCGGTACACCCCGGAGTCGGAGCGCTTGGTGTTGTTGATCAGGAACTGGGAGTGGTCTTTGCCCTTCGTGATGGTTTCCCTGCCCTTGGTGGGGATGCCATCTTTCTGCCAGATCACGTTAGGTGGTGGTGAGCCCTGGTCATGACAGGAGATGGCACCAGTGGTTACCCAGGTGGTATTTGGGGGCAGACCCTCCCCCAGTGTTGAGGAGTCTCCTGCCAGGCTGTAGTGCCAGGTGTCTGGGGAGGGGCAGAGCTAGAGGCAGAGACTATGATAGCTACAGCAGCCATCTTGGCTAAGTGGTGGGCATCTAGGGTCAGGATCAGGAAGGACTCACAGAGAAGGCAGCATGGATGAAGAGGGCTGTCCCAGCACGAACCACCATGTGACTCTTCAGCCGGGCACTGAGGTCAAACTTGGGGGCAGCTGAAGCGGAGGAGATAGAGGCAGGGGTATGGACCTCTCCCTCCAGAAGATACAGCTCTAAGTCTCCTGTCCAAAGCCTTTCCCAACTTCTCCTCTTTCATGCCCCTGCTACAGGCCACACAGACATCTAACAGCCCGGCATAACTGTAAAGCATTTATTTGTTTCTCATCTCTCTCCTTCTACTAGCACATAAGACACTTGAGGGCAAGTCCAGTATCTTATTTGTTTCTATATCCTTCACACCTCCCTTGGAACACAGTAGATACTGAGTATTATGAGCATAATGGTTTTTTTAAAGGAGTGGGCTCTGTACAGGCACAAGTATGGATGACTTTTTTCTTGATCACAGCATCATCCAATTTCCCCCTGTGGGATGAGGTTCCACAGAGGAAGGTTTGGAAGCTATGATATTGAGGCCTAAATCCCCAGCCCTCTCTGTGTCCTCACCTGGTGGTGGCATGGCACGGACTCCCTTGTCCAACTCCACAGGTTCCCCAACTCCAGCCTCGTTCACAGCTCGGATTCGGAAGAAGTATTTCTGTCTCTCGGTGAGGCCTCCCACCGTGTAGCAGGTGCCTGAGATGGGAATCTTTGTGCACTTGGACCACTCCTTGCTGTCTTCGGCTCGCATCTCGAGGATGTAGCCGGAGGGTGGGTCTCCCTCTGCAGGTTCCCGCCAGGCCAGGGAGATGCTTGAGTTGGAGGAATCAGACACATGCAGGCCCTGGACCAGGCCTGGAGGTTCTGGGGTGCAACACACATCCAGTCAGCCTCCAAACTCATCTTCACTCAACCCTTCGCCAATTCCCACACTCAGTACCCCTGAAACCTAGCTTCACCACTTCTACCTCCAACTCCCACAGTTAACACCCTCAATTCCCAACCTTGTACACTCAACAGCCTCTCAAACATTTATCCAGCACCCCCACTCCATCCTCAAACATGCTTCTGCTACCTCAGTGAATACCAGAAATCCTCTAAGTTTGATAAAAAAACCCCAAAAAACCAAAACAAACAAACAAAAACACTTTTTTCCACTCTGCCTCCTCACTGTCCCTGGCTGATTCTCAATGTTTATTTGCTGGCTTTCTCAGGTGTCTGAATCCTCTGCCTCCGGCAGGCTGGCAGCTCTCAGAAAGTGAAGACTCTTTGACCCCTCCTGTTAGACTTTCCCAGAGAAGAAATCTTTTCTCTACCTTGAATGGGCTAATTCCACTATGTGTTGGACCTGGCAGCCCCAAACTCACTGACAGGGTCTTTGGCCACCACTGAGTTGGATGGCATACTGGGATGTCCGGGGCCTGACTTATTCACAGCTATAACTCGGAATTCATATTCTGTATCCTCCAGAAGACCATCCACGGTGTACTTGGTGTCTGAAATGGGAATTTGAGGGGTCAGGAGGCCAGGAGGCCCATAGGGTGGGAGACCATAGACTGAGAGGACACAGGAGGGCATCATGGGATACTGTTGAAATCCCCAAAGGAGTTGGGGGAGGGAGTATATTCAGAGCGACAGGGTACATGGGTCCACCCAGCAAAGCCTACCTTGGTCCTTCCTGGGCCTCTGTTCCTAAGAACTCACCCTGGATGGGGTCCTTATTGACTGGCACCCACAGGTTACTGCCTTTCTTCCTCCGCTCCACAATGTAGCCGAGCACTGGGGCTCCCCCATCCTGGGTCGGGGCATTCCATGTGATGGTCACGGCCTCTTTGGTCACGTCAGTAACTTGAGGCTGGGAGGCAAGACCTGGGGGCTCTATAGAGGTTGGAGAGAGGGCAGAGGTTAGAAGAGGTAGCATGTAGACAGTTGCCCACCCCATGCTGATCTCTGGCCCCTCCTTAAAAAAACTAAAACCCATGATTCTTAACTCTGGTTGTTGCACATTAATATGAAGTGTGAAGTAACAAAACAAAACAAAACAAAACAAAAACCAACAATAACTATTAGTATCTAGGTCCTACATCCAGATATTTTAATTTAATTGGCCTAGGGTGGAGGCCAGGCACCAGCATTTTAAAAAAGACCTCAGGTGATTTTAATGTGTAGCCAAGATTGAGAATTACCATCTTAAACCTTCCAACATATATCACCCCCAATATCCTAGTTCTTAATTTACTGTCTTGATGCATTGGGACATGGAGATCAGTTGGGAGTGTAGCAATTAATTAACTAGTAATCATAATTAAAATACTGATATTACCAAGGGTTTTCTTTGAAAAAAAAAATTACCATGGAATCAAGGTTATCCCTAGAATAACATCTCTCACTTGGATTCGAGATGATTTCTGGACTAGAGAAACAAGTGCAGTCAGTTTCCTGGAGTTGTGCACAGTTCAGGATATACACACAGGAGTATGTGGTGCATGTGATCTGACTGAAAAAAGTTGAGAATTCCTGCCCCAAACGATGTTCTGCTCTTGCTCTGGAATCCATCTATCTCATGGGGTGGCTAGAGAAATGACCCTGTGTAGTTCCCCACAGGCCAGTATTCCTCCCTGGCTGAAGGCCCACATCCTGACCCTAGGATTCCCCATTGAGCACGGGGCTGTCTCACTGACCGATAGGATTTCCTGCAAATACTTCGTCTGTCTCCAGTGGGTCGCTCACTCCTTCCGAATTGACTGCCAGGATACGAAACTGATAGGCTTTTCCCTCTTCCACTTTGTTGGTGGAGAACTTGGTGACTTTGCTGTCCACTTCACCTATTTTAATCCAGGCCTTCTTGCCAACTGCCCTCCGTTCCACTATGAACTGTGTCACAGGACGCCCACCATTGTCCTTTGGGGCCTTCCACTTCATGTGCACACAATTACCCGAGAGCTCCAGGAACTCAACCCGGCCCTGGGGAGGCTTGGGACGGTCTGAGGATAGAAAATAGCATCAAAATGGGGCTTTGGAGCAAAAGATCAGAGCCCTTTATCCCACTTGCTGGAGGTCTAGCCAGACTCAGACATAGCTAGATTCTGAGCTTTCTGTATCTCGCTCTTCCCTGTGTGCACTGCCCCTCCTTCTAAGATTGTCTAACGAGTTTGATCCTTTCCCCTCTGAGACTCCTGCCTGCCTAGGAATGGGCAGACTGGACACCTGAGGGGCCCCTGATTCGGCTGATTCCTCTTTTTCCCCTTACAAAAAAGCTCTTCCCCTCTTCTGAGCTTCCAAAACTCCAGTGCTTTCTGGTATTATAGTCGCCTTATGTTATAATTACCTGTCTACCAGTTTTCATCTCTTTTGGGTTAAGGGACTTTTGGGGATACTTCATCTCTGTGTCTCCAGTACTGAGAACACAGAAGAGGTACTTAGTCTAGGTGCCGAATTGAACTGAAACACAAACCTTCCCACCCCACAGCTTGATGGAGATTCAGGTGGAGGTGGTGAGTGTGTGTGTGTGTGTGGGAAGTTGAATATGAGTTCACCAAGGCCAGCTTCTCATCTCTTTCCTTAACCTTATGTTCAGACCCATTCCCACCTTCATACCATCTTTTTCTCCAACCTCATTTTATCCTTTACCCTGTCTTACCTCCCCTCACTCCATTTCACTTCAAACCCCAATACTCTTACCAACAAATCTCACTTCCATTCTTAAATCCCACTTCTCTTTCACCCTCATTTCCACCTTGTTGTCAACTATGTCCTCATCTCCAAGTCAATAACAATACTAAAGTAACATTTATTTGAAGGTCTATTATGCTATGACTCTGCTATGTGCTGCTTTAAATTCACTTGAAATAGGTACTAAGAAATAAAAATCACTCTGTTCCACAAGAGAAACAAGCTTAAGAAGGTTAATTGACTTGCCAGCAAGGCCACCTAGTTAAGAAGTGAGGTTCTGGCTACAAAGCCAGCACTCCAATCCTAGTCTCAACCCAAACTCCTACTCTGACCCCAGCCTGCCTCCTCCCCGGAGCGCCGGGCAGTAGGTGGCCTCAGCCCAGCCCAGTCAGGGTCTTGCCCTCACCCAGCACGCTGAGGTGCACAGTGGCCGTGACTGAGCCATAGTCATTCTTGAGCTTGAGCAGAACAAGGCCGCTGTCCTCGCGCACGCACTTGGAAATGGTGAGCAGGGCCTGGTCTTCCCTGCGCTCCATGGACACACGTTCCTCCTCGGTCACCTCCACGCCATCCTTATACCATGTCACTTTGGGCAGTGGTTTTGCCTTGAATGGCACCTTGATGTTCGCCGTGTGGCCCACCTTCACGGTCACGGGGTGTGCAGCCAGTGCTTCCAGTATGGACGGGTCGATGGTAGGAGGATCTGCAGGGTGGGGCGGTAGGGAAGGCTCTCCCAGCTGGCATGGGGGAGGCGCCAAGGGGGTGGAGGAGGAGCCCATGGGGTAGGGGAGGAGGAGCCCATGGGGTAAGGGAGGGGCTATGAGCATCTGGGAGGGGCTGGCGTGGTTAAGATTTGTCTACAGTGGGCGGAGACCTCACCTGCAATGAATATAGAGGCTTCGCTCTCTGCTCCCTTGGCCCGGAATGTGTACTTGCCCTCGTGCTCGGGGCCCATACTGGGGAAGATGAGCTTGTGCACCGCACCCTGCTTCACGATCTGCACCCCGGGCAAGTCGGTGATCTAGGGCGCGAAGGGTGGGCCCGAGTGAGAGTGTATGCCCGATGGAACCCTTCCTCCTTGGTCCCCTTCCCTAGCTCTTGCCTCTGACCTCTTTGCCGTCCTTCAGCCACACTCCCTCCACCTTCTCATCGTTCAGCACTACGCACAGCTCAGCCGGGCTCCCGGTGGCCGCGTGCACGTCGGACATCCCGCTCTTCACCGTGGCCAGACGCTCTGGGGAGAAAAGGAGCAGGGGCTCTGGGAAGGGGCGGGTGTGCTGTGTCTATCAAAATTATTTAGGATGAGCAGGAAGTTTGGAAATGTTCAATGGGCGGTTCGGGAATGGTCAGTGTGAGGACTGGAGCAAGTAGGAGAGGTGTTGGGGGAAAGTCAGTGACATTGAGAAATGGTGACCAGGAAGACTGGGAGATGGCTATTGGGGGGAGGGGACCGTTGATCATCAGAGGAAGGTCAGTGGCGACTCAATATGTTCAGTCAAAGAAGGGGAACATATGCAGATAGTAGAGTTGAGATGTTTAATTGTGGTTATGCTGGTCTGTGGGATGCCCAGGGTTATCAGGAATTGAGGGTGGTTAGGGTCAGTGGAGAATGTCAGGGATAGTGAGTAGGGGCTGGTCAGGGTTAAGGGGAGTGTGGGATGATCAGGGTTGCTGGGGATAGTCAGAGGCTGGAAGTGAAAAATAGATGAAGTCAAGGGATTTTTGACAGAGTTCGAGAGATGGGAGATGGTCAGGGTCTAGGAAGTAGAGATATTCAGGGCCTGGGAGGTCAGAGATGGTCAGAATTTGGGAGATGGGGCTTGTCAGAGTGGGGAGGTGGAAATTGATCATGGTCTAGGGGAGGACTGGAGTCAGTAGGAGGGCTGATCAGTGTCCAGGGTAGGGGAATGTTAGGGTCAGGGGGTTGGTCAGTGGGGACTGACAAGTTGGTGTATACCCTCCACGGTGACCATGGCAGTACTGTAGTATTCAGTGGGGTCCCCGTTCTGCTTGGCCACCACGGTGTACTCGCCACCATCACTGAGCTGTGCATCCTCAATGATAAGCTCTGCTCGCTTGCCCTCATGGTTCATGCTGTACTTGGTGCCACGCTCCAGCAGCTTCCCATCCTTCTTCCAGAACAGTGTCACATCCTTGGATGTCAGCTCACACTCAAGGCATGCACGGCTCTTCTCTTTCACACGTACATTCTTGAGGGTGCTCACAAACTTGATGGGGATACCTGTGGACAGATAAACACTTGGACATACTCCCATCCTCCTACATCCCTTTTCTGCAGTGACCTGCTCCTCTTTTTGGCCCCAGAAAGCACAGGGACTTGTGACATGGAGTATGTTTGTGTGCAAGTATGACCCATGGAGGTATCCACGAAGGTGTGTAAGTGTGACCTACGGAGGTACCTGGCAGGGAGAGTGCCAGCTCTGCCCCTTACTTGCTAGCTAACTTTATGCAGTGCATTCACTTTGTCTCAGTTTCCTCATATGTAAAATGGGATAAATGTCCCCCTTGGAACCCTAGCCATAACTGCATTGTCTCTCTGGTGAGACAATGCTGTTCGTTCCCTCTGCTGAGAGTGTCTTTTCCTCTTCCCATTTCTCTGAAGCTGAACTGCTAAGTTGGTAAAGCTGGGCCATCAACTCATCATATCCTTTCTGACATCACCAGGTGGTGCCCCTTCTTTGGACTCCCACAGCATCTGTGTCACCATCATGTCACATGTGATGATTCCATGTCACATGTGTTAAGTATGGTTCACATGTATGGCATGCTTCTTGGTGTACCCACCATCATGTGCAATTCTCCAAACTAGCTATAATACAAGAAAGTGAGGAGTCTAGAGTGATGTACTGTAATATATAATATGAACCAGAAAGGCTAATAATTTTTTGCCTCATGATCTCTTAGCTGATAATAAAATTCCAGTGTTTCTTGACCCCTTGCTCGAGAACTTCTGTTCTAATTTCATTTCCACAACTGCCTCTCCCATTAGATGAGAAGTCAGTGGAAAGGAGAACCTCTTTCTCCTTCTAGTACCCATTACAGGGCCTTGCAAAGAGGAGATGGACTGACAGATAGATGGGTGGATAGATGGATGGATGCCTGGCTGGCTGGCTCGCTGGCTGGATGACTGCTCACATGGAAGTTGCTATAATATGAAGCCCACCCCTCGAGCTCTGGCCCAACCACTCACGGTCAATAGTGAGCTGGGCCTTCTGTACCAGGTCCCCCACCTCAGCAGAGAACTCGCCGCTGTCACTGAGTCTGGCATCCTTAATCTTAAGCGTGTGGGTCAGACCATCCTCAGACACTGTGATTTCATACTTTTCGTCCCTCTTCAGCTCTTTCCCATTGAACTTCCACACAAAGTCGGGCACTTTCTTGGAAAGACGGATCTCAAACACAGCTGTCTGGCGCTCTGTCACCTTCATTGGCTTCATTTCTCCTAAGAACCTCACTGGCTCATCTGCAGCGAAAAGTAGGAGGGGGCAATCACTGGGTTGCAGCTCCGGTCTCTCTCTAGGGCTGGTGTGGTGAAGGGGGCATGGAGACTCAGGTGTCATTGGCCTCCTGCAGCCCACAGTTGGAGAGAGTATCCTTCCTTTCATTCCTCTTGTAAATCATGGAGTGCCTTCCCATGCTGTTCATATGGTCTCCTCCACAGTAATGTTAACAATTAGAAAGGACTTACATTGTTTTAGATATGGCCAATTTTCACATATTAATGTATCCAATTCTCACACGGGTAGATTCTACTCTTATTCCCCATTTTAAGATGAGGAAATGGAGGCGAAGAGAAGATAAATAACTTGCTGCAAATCACACAGCTCATAAGGGACAGAAACTGGGATTTGAACCCCAGTGGTTAGCTCTGAAGATGATGCTTTTAACCACTACACTACATTGCCCATGGTACTTATCTCACAGTCCTCTCCTTTACAGCCATATTTCCTTCCTCCATGAATTCCCATCCCGTGCAGTCCTTTCCTGTATAACCCCATATTCCTTTCTCCCACGTCCCAGGGACCCCATCCCTGGCTGTTACTCCGCCCAGACCCTGACCATGTGCTCCTGATGCCCACACTCATACCCAGCACTGTAAGCTTTGCACTCATCCGCTTGTCACCCACGGACAGGCTGTAGGTGCCTGCATCGTTCATATTCACGTTGGTAATAACCAGCATATGCTTGGTGCCCATCTGTTTCACATCATACTTTCCCAGGGAGTACTGGATCCTCAGTGGTTCATTATCCTGCCCCATGAAACAGGCAGAAAAGCTGATGAAGCAGGTTAGCAGGAGACTTCCAGAGGTCCCCATTCCCCAAAGCCAACTTGAGCTGGAGGTGCCATGTCTACCTCTACAGATCCTCAAACACACCCAGTAGCCCCTACGATCTCTCTGACTTCATTACCTGGCTTGGTGAGATCCAGGGTCCCTGCCTCCCCCAATGCCTGAACTCTTAATATAAATGAGTTTATAAGATGCTTTCTCTTAGAGACCCAGATCTTCAGTGACCTTCAGGACTATTTAACTCAACCTCTTCAGATTGATAGACTGAGGCATAGAGAGAGGAAAATAATTGTCCCAAATCAAACAATAAAGTAGTGGAACAGCTAAGAATAGAAGCCAGCTCCCGGCTAGTTACAACCATACCCGGAGGCATCTTCTTGATGGGATCAAAGAGAGGACATGGCTGATGGATGAGAGGGTCTGGGAAGGGAGGGGGTGCAGAAAGGAAATAATATTACCATTGTGGATCCTGCCTAGGTACTTCCCCACCTTGACCCATGTCATCTTGATATTAGGGTCCTTCAGCTCCATGATGCAGTCAAAGACCACGGTGGTGTCAATCTTGGTCTTTATATCTTCCAGAGGCTTCAGAATCCGGATGGTCTAAGAGATTACGATAACAAAACAGCAGGTGTCAGGGGCACCTGAGGTTTGTGCAGCCTGTGTCCCCAGTGCTGGAGGAGACGACCAAGAGTCTGGGGAGAAATGACTAGGCTGATTAGATAGCTGTGTTTCCCCTACCTCCTGCCACTGATTAACTGGAAGATTTAGGGGGAGACAAATATGATGGGAGATGAGAAAAGCACCATCATTCGTGGGACGGTCACTATGGACCTGAGTTCATTACATATATTCTCTAGTTCCAGTGTAGATGCTTAATAATTATGAGTTGGTCAAGTGAATGAATGACGACAACATGAAAGCAAATGAAAGAGGAAAGTATAATTTTCATTTTTCAGATGAGGAAAATGAGGTTCAAACAGATGCCCAAGTTCACACAGTTAATAAGGCATTAGAACTAGGATTTGAACCCAGGGCTTTCTGACTCCAAAGTCTATATGTAAATAAATTAGGGAATGGTGAAGAGAGGAGAGGTAGAAGGAAGGTGGCTTGAGTTCCTTTTCCGCTTTCGCTGTAGAGTATGCCTTTGAATATGTGTGTGCAGGGTGGGGAGACCTTGCTGCTGGGGGACACACAGACACTAGCGCTTTTGGTGAGACCCAGCCCCCGTCCTGCAGACTCCTGCCCCTACAATGGACACTGACCTCCACCTCCACTTTCTTCATCGATTTGAGCTTCTTGAGCAGCCCCCGGAAGTCGGTGAAACCATACTCCATGCAAACCTTCTCAAAGTCCTTCTTGGGCACCTTGGACAAAATCTCCAGCATCTCTTTCTCATCTGTCACTTTCTTCTGCTTCTTCTTGGGAGCAGGGGGAGCCCTGGGAGGAAGCGGGTGTCAAGCTTGGACTGAGCAACTCCCTTTGAAGACAAAGGGAGCCTCTCCTAACCTTGAGATGCCCATGGATTCTTGGAGCCTGGGCTATTAAATCAGGGCCCTGCTGAAAGGCCTTCAAGAAGCTCTAGCCTAGAGGGTTGGGGGACAGCACCCAGGGCAGAGGAGACTTGCTGCCTTACCTCTTCTTCAACATCTTTTTGAAATCTATTTTATCTTGACCTGAAGGCAGAGAGAGGGACAGGGTCAGACAGGAGGAGTTGATCCTTAAGAAGAAAGGCCCTGGGAGGAGGGGGCTGGCTCACCCTCTGTCACCATCAAAGACACGGTGTAGATGGCATCTGCATGGTCATTGCTTGCAATGCACTTGTAGTTGTCAGAGTCATCCGAGGTCAGCGGCTCCAGCTGGATCAGAGTCAGGCCATTAGTAGGGGAGGGGAGAGGAGATCACTGGGAGACTTTCTGCAGGTTGGGAAAGGAAGGCATTTGGGGGTGGGGTGGGGAGGAGCTGAGTATGTGTGGAAGTTTGAACAGCCTCTATGATTTGGAGGTACCAGGTAGCAGTCAGTGTGAGTGTCTGTGTTTGTAGCCTCATTCTGCATCGGCCTCTTCCCCTCAGCTGCCTTCCTGGAAGACAGGGACTTCCTCTGAGTTGTAACTATCTGCAGTCTCAGGCACTCAGCTGAGCACCCCTTTCTTTAATACATATTTACTTTCTCCTACCTGGCACTGGGCTGAGCCCCTGAGGAAACAGTTGTAAATAAGGCTGCCTCAGTGCCTGTAGGATGGTACTTACATCCCAGCAGGTTCTCAGAAAATACTTGCTGAAATAATGAGTTTGTGTAAGGGGTGGCCAGTGGGAGGACTGTGGGGAAATT